TGGTCAACCTGTCGTCCCCCAGCACTCCCAGTCCCTCTCCGCAGAGCTGCTCTCCAGCAGGTCAGCCCCAGCCTGTACTGGTGCCTGGGGTTGTTCCTCCCCAGGTGCAGGACCCTGCCCTTGCCCTTGTTGAACCTCATCAGGTTCCTCTGCGCCCAACTCTCCAGGTCTCGCTGGATGGCAGCACAGCCTTCTGGTGTATCCACCACTCCTCCCAGTTTTGTGTTGTCAGCAGACTTGCTGGGGGTACATTCTAACTCTTCATCCAGGTCATTGATGAGTTGAGGTATCTCATTATAGACTTTTTTTTTTACCCCCCTTCTCATTTTTGCACTTCACCAGTGTTCCTGCAGTTCGTCACCCCGCTAATTTTCGAACTGAAGTGGTGGCCATAAGCTCCCGGCCGTGACTGGTGCTGTGGGAGGCGGAGAAGGGACCAGGGCCCGAGGGAGCTGAATTCGGTCCTGAACGCCGCCCTTCGCCGTCAGCGCAGAGCAGTGTCGGGGGCAGCACAGCGAAGCTTTTGTGCTCCTCCCAGGCCCGCAGATAAACCCTCCGGGTTCACCAGCGTCTGGCACAAACGCTGCCTTTCCGCGAGGCAGTTTGGCTGCCCCGTGGTTATCGGTGTTTGAGTTACGGTTTATCACTTGTTCCCAGGCCACAGATGACCAAACAGCTAATCCATTCTGGACATATTTTTTTTTATTGTTCATTTTCAGTATCAAAATTTTGGTATCTTTCTTTTTCTGAGCACTCTAACAAATTTCTACTATTTTGCTCCCCTGATGTTGTGCTCGAGCTCCTTTCACATAACGCAATGGGCAATGATCTCTCGCCTTCTGTATTACCACCAACTGCGAATCAGATACTGAAGGGCTACAGAAAAGTTCTTCATCTGTAATTTCAGGATGCCTAAAACCACTTGAAAATTTAAGGTTGCTACAAACATTTCCAGTCTCCTAATGAGAGTATTCCACAGTTGGCTTCTCGATATTGACCTGTAGTTTTTTTTCTCCGATTCCTACTCTGAATCGTGGAAGAAACGTTCTCCTTTTCTTCTTGGGTTTCATCTATTCAAGCAGATGACGAATTCATCATCATTTTTGCTGAACTGAAAAAAAAGTGGTTTGTAACACTGATGATGATGTTAAAATTCAGTGCCAAATGTTGTTTCCTTAATACTGTACTCTTTCCAAGACTCAAATTTACCTTTGATGTCCCTGTTATGTGGGTAAGCAGACATGTAAACGTAGAATCATAAAGTGGTTTGGGTTGGAAGGGACCCTAGAGATCACGCAGTTCCAACCCCCCTGCCATGGGCAGGGACACCTTCCACCAGACCAGGTTGCTCAGAGCTCCATCCAACCTGGCCTAGAACGCTGCCAGGGAGGGGGCAGCCACAGCTTCTCTGGGCAACCTGGGCCAGGGCCTCACCACCCTCATGGTGAAGAATTCCTTCCTTATGTCTAATCTAAATCTCCCTTTTTCTAGTTTAAAGCCATCACCCCTTGTCCTGTCACTTCCTGCCCTTGTCACAAGCCCCTCTCCAGCTCTGTCGCAGCCCCTCCAGGCACTGGCAGTTGCTCTAAGGTCTCCCCTTGTCCTTCTCTCCCCAGGATGACCAGCCCCAGCTCTCCCAGCCTTTCCTCCCAGCAGAGGGGTTCCAGCCCTCGCATCATTGCTGGGGCCTCCTCTGGCCCCGCTCCCACAGCTCCAGCTCTGTCCTGTGCTGAGGGCTCCAGAGCTGGACGCAGGACTCCCGGGGGGGTCTCAGCAGAGCGGGGCAGAGGGGCAGAATCCCCTCCCTCGCCCCATGCCCACGCTGCTGGGGATGCAGCCCAGGGCACGGTTGGCCTTCTGGGCTGCCAGCGCACACTGCCGGGTCCTGGCCAGGGTCTCATCCCCCAGCACCCCCAAGTCCTTCTCGGCAGGGCTGCTCTCCATCCCTGTGTTTGTGCTTGGGATTGCCCCGACCCCTTTTAGCTTACTTTCTCTTTTCGATGCTTTTTCACACCATGTCCCAACATAGGGGAAATCTGAAAGGAAATTTGTATAAAAGGCAAGTATTCTGCGATTTTGTTGTACCTGTTTAAATCTAGATGGTGACTTTTTCCTCCCACCCCCCAGGTTTCAGGCACTTTTAGGCTTTTCTGCTCTGAAAAATACTGGAGGTCGTGCTTGCAGTGGAGCTCCAGGACTTTGTCGTCTCAGAAGCATCTCTGCCCATTCACCCGTTGTCCTTTCATTGTCGCTGAGTGCTGGGCTTCTGCCCTGCCATAGCCTACACGATGAGCGAGCTCAGAATGAAAAGAAAAACAAGGGGCTGTACTCGTGCACAAAGATAATTTGCATCTTTCATCTCTGTTGAAGAGGGAACAGAGGCCTTCAGATCCCCATCACCCGAGTACGGGCAGAGTCTGTTCCCTCAGATGTCTGCAAGGACGTGGTGCCAGCACAGAGCTGCGGCCACGGGGAGATTCAGCAAGCCAGAAGCACCGGCAAATAATTTTCAAAAAACTAACAATGTTCAAACACCCCTCACCTCCGCGTTTTATCTCCAGAGAGTCAAGAATGTGGCAGAGAAAAGGCTGAACTCACACCAAGGGGTGGGGTAGCTTAGTGGTTTGAAAATGTGTCGCCATGTTTATAAGTTTTTCAGATTTAATTACACATGGCATCTGTGCGGGGGGGGGAAGGCTGGCTCTCAGTGCTTTTGATGGGGAATTCATTATCAGATTGCTGACATCCATGGAAATTCATTAGGCCAATTCTTAGAACTTTGCAAGTAAATAATGTAATTGTTGTCAAGAAGACTTAAAAC